CCTAGAGCACTAGTCATGTACTACGGCTGATCCACGATGCGTGCAAACAACGCACAGTTGTCTCACAGACTAAAGTTCTGGCACAGAAACGACGGATGTTCAGCAACCCACGATCAATACGGTGCTCCACAGGAACACCGTAATCAAAAACAGCAACACAAGCACAAGACAATATTGCATGAAGATAAATATTAAACCGTGAAGGAGGCAAGACACACCGTTGCTTCACACAAGCGATAACTGCAAAGCAAGTCGATGTCTGTCCACTCAGCTGTACACTGGTCCGCATACCACTGTGTAGACATTCAATTAAACTTATAAACGTACACTGGCAGCCAAATTTACCCAAAACAGCCACAATGTTTTGCGGTTCACCGTAGCGAATGCCTTAGTGAAATCAACTAACAGCGAGTATAACGACTGGTATCGTTCTCCACACTTCTCCTGCAACTGACGAGCCGCAAACACCATACCTATAGTGCTGCGACCCGAACGGAGTCCACACTGCACTTTTACCACATTCGGTTCCACAACCTGCCTGACAAGGCGATTGAGCAGGATTCGGGCAAGCACCTATCCCACACAACTCAACAAGTTGCAGCCACGATAATTCGTACAACATTGCTTTCTCGCTATGTGTTTGTACAGTGGGAGCGCAAGGGAATCCTTCAGCTTAGATGGCACTTCCTCCTCAAACCACACGCGTTGCACCAAGTGGTGCGGCGTAGTCACCAACGCGAGTCCACCAAGTTTCAATACTTCAGTCGAGATTCCGTCAGCACCGGCACACTTGCCGTTTCGCAGCTGAGCAAGTGCTCTCTGCGTCTCATCCAGTGTCGACGTGTTTGCCAGACTCTCCTTCACATCCTGCTGCTACAGGCCGTTCAAAGTAGGCCAGTCAATCTCTGAACCGTTGTTCAAGAGACAGTCAAAATGCTTTTCCAGCTCTGCATTATGTCTGCAGTCTATGTGCAGGTAGAGGCTGAACTACCATCGATCAGCGTCCACAGTGGCTACAATCACGGTCCAAACACCTCCTTTAAGAGACAGCGAATTACTTGTGTTGGCGAGGTTCTGCATAGCATTCCACCTGCCTGGCCTTCTCCGTCCAGCATGCATTTTTAGTGCGACGGAGCACTCCGGTCAGTCGCCGTCGAAGTTTGCGAAACGCACACTTCTTCCCCAAATCACTGAGGTCTGCCACATGTGCAGCAAATGCTGCATTCTGCTATGACACCACTGCAACAATCGTCGTATTTTTCGCATCAAACCAATCAGGCCGCTTACAGTTTGCGCGCCCAATGGCATCCTCGGAAGCTGCTGTCACCTGGTCATGAATTTGGTGTCACTGTGTCCATGCAGTCCACATCACACAGATGTACACCCATCGCCTTGTCCAGCTCAACATGTTGATCTACAATACCGGGGGAGATAATATTAAATTTACGCCTCCGATTCACGGCGGAAGTGCAAAACATAGACTTACGGAAATATATATACAGTTTGGTCTGCACCAATTTGTACTCAGTGCCACATTCAGCTCCACGCAGCACACGTGTCATGCACACTTTACGCATATTACGCTGACGTACGATGACACAGTCGAGCAGGTGAGCGTAAGCACTCCTTGGTTACGGCCAAGTAGTAATAGCACTCGCACTCTGTGCAAATCGAGTGTTCGTGATTGTCAGGCCGCAAGTGGCACACAATGAGAGCAGCCTGTAATTGTTCGCCTTCGCTGAACCAATGCCATGCGGACTGATAACATTGTCCACACCGATTCATCACGCCCAATGGCGCGTTGAAATCACCCAGCAGAAATAGTCGTTCGCTCCTCGGCACAGGCCGTATCACGGAGGATAACTGAGTGCAGAATTGATCACGCGTATCATCAGGATAACACGTGCTTATAAAAGTGGCAAACTTACCTCTTCCGAGTCGGAGGCGAGCAATCATCGGTCGTGCGCTGATGGCTCACACCAGCTGGCCCATTATGCAATCGGATATTGCAAATCCGACCCCATGTTCACGTGGTGCTGAGGCGGCGTTGCCCAACCAGTAGAACGTGCAGCCAACGCTTGCTTCATGAAACTTAGCTTGCCTTGTGAGCTGGATATCATTGAGCGCCGCAAAATCGGGGTTGTAGCGCGGCAGTTCCATCGCGACCAGGGCAGTGCGTCGCTCGGGTCGCTCACCGGAGTTCCGATCCAGTAGTGTGCGAACATTCCAGCACCCGATGCTGAGGGCTTTGCGCGCAAGTATACCGTTGCGTTGCTGGGCAATCGCACGCGAGGTGGCGGTTGTGCTTCGCAAGTTTGCTTGAGTGACTCAATCCGGAGCCTTTGGCTCAGTAGCCTGAACAACAAGACAGTGGGGAGCAGATGCAGCTCGAGAATGTGATTGAAGAAACAGATTGGGATCTGCTTGACGGTCCTCACACGCAGCCTTTGAGGTACTGGAAGGATTCATATATGTTTTGCGACCGTACTAGGATACATCTGCGACCACGGCAAGGCGCAGGTGGGTTTTGGCGGATTTGCACCAATTTGACCAGGGGCTGCCTGACTTGAGGTGGGCATTAGCAAACATTTGAACACCCGGAAGTGCCCTCCCACCGTCAGAGACTATGCGTGGCGCTCGTCTTCTACGCCATTCGAGCGCTGAGCTTATAACCCTTAGACCAGTTGTCTGCCATGGCTAGGTTTTACGGGAAGAGGGCCGTTGACCAGTTTCTAACCTTCGAAGAGGATGGTTAAAATACTGCCAAGACGCCCACACCTAATAAGGGAACGACTCGGGTCCTCGAGCAAAGTCTTCGATTAATTGTACACCCGAAAGGCAGCGGGTCTAGCATATGGTCAGTTCACCTACTCACGCGGATTGGTGTCCTGGATCTTAGCATGGAGATGGACGTATTCCAACTCGCACCCAGCGGTAGCCACGAGGAGGCGTCCAGGACATGAGCCCATGGCGCAACAGTAGCATCAGTGGGTAGACCATCTTACAATATCTAGCCATCACCAGCCTCAACGCTCCATATTCTGTCCCGCCTACATACACACAGTAATGGAAATTAAACTAAGGATACTACAAAATTCCCAAGTCTTGAAGCCTGACAATGGTTTTCTAGCACAAAGAGATGTGCTACAGCACTGCATGTATCAACACAGTTATTGAAGTAAAATGCCACCAAGGTGCAGTAGGGCGGAAGAGTTAGTTGTGTTTTTATTACTGATACTAATTGAGAACTTGGTATCTCCGATAAACTTTAAATTGCAGGTTTGCAGCAAAGCAAATATTACATTAATTGGTCTGGGAGCATTTAGAGCATGGAAATGCGATGACGAACATCTCATTACCTATGATGCTCCACAATAACGGATCTCATAGGTCTTAACTGCGAGAGTGGCACTCTTTGTGAAAATATCGTTGAGGTATGTGCATCGACTGACTTTGGAAGGCATAACTGGTCGTTTGATGAGTAATGAAAGAGCAAATGGCAGATGATCGCTCGTTTCAAAATATCTCAAATGGTAGGGCGTATACAAGACTTTGTGCGAGTTAACCGGGTGATTCAAGTGTAATGTTCGGAATGGGCCCCCAGCCATTTGCGCAGCGTTAAATCACCAAGTTCTCCTACAGCGCTTGAACAGTCACGGAACCTATTTCATATGGCCATATATACACAAGCATGCATACACAGTGATAGGAATACGCTGATTTTATACGATGCGCAAGCTTTTATGTGGAGACTAATGAGGATCATCGTTCTCTGTCGGAGGATTACTTGATATCGTCAGCATGTGCAGCTACGAGGATTCACTGCAGCAGTTGGTTTTTCCTATGCGCACAATGGCGATGTTGCGCATGCAATCGGATATTACTTCTGGGACTTCTCAAGTAATGGGATGCATTTGATAGAGAGATCTTTACTAAACATAGCATAAAAAGGGACTGGGAAGGAAGCTGTGCGCTTTCCTATACATACTTGACATGAAACATCCTAATCGCTGGCACCAAATGATTTCAATCCTTGACTTACTACAGAAATTTTTGTCAACCATTAAAATATAGGACCCAAGCAAACAGGAGGAATCAAATCGATGTGACCGGCGATGAGACAGCGAAAGCCGTACTAAGTCCGTCCACATGCACTGTGCCAATCCAACTGGAAGCGCGTCGGTATTTGAGCTACTTAAACCCCGCATCTCATAGTGCTTGAAGCTACACAGGCTGTTAACTCTTGTTATCCTAGCATTTTTCGTTGAAAGTAGACTTTTAACCCTGGCAGTCTTGCTACATTTACAAATCGACTAGTTACCTTTCAAAGTTGCTTGAATCGATGTGACGAAAATCCATACCCGCTAAGCGGGTTTCGGAATTTTGCCCATACAACTGTGCTGTGATTGGCTTAAGCATCATATAACACACGGTTGTATGTAGTTGACGAACATTTTAATGCAATAGTCATTACAGTTGTCCAAACAGTGGCTAATTTACTCACAACGGACCACCATTCATTGCTTTCTTGTTGACTACTTCAGTTAACATTGATAAGAGTCCTTTGATGCTTCATCCACTTTCCGAAATATTTTAAACTCAACAGCCTGCTCCATCCTTTACTGAATTGTCGACAACCTCAGCCAGTGTATCACACGGTCTGCCTTACAATGGGCACACCCCCTCCTTGTAAATGGGGTATCCGCGTGAATTGTACAGTAATAAGGATTGGTATTCTTGAATCCGTGGTTTCCAGCAATTGCAGTGACTTGTTTAATATACTAAAATATTCTACGTTGACGTGTTGTCAGAGTACTCATATCCGTGTGCAAACAACTATCGTGCCCTAGTAATATTCGACGCTTCAACTATATGTATCCAATTTTCATAATTCGAAAGTTCACTGCTGTCTGATGATACCAATAGTTTCTTACTTTTGCATTACATTTTATCGACCGGTCTAACTTACACTTCCGATTATCTCACTTCCCCCCCGCTAGGTATCTGGCAGCTTCCTCCTATCCCAAAGAGATGATTATTCTCATTGACAAGAGTGGCAGTATGAAAGGACGCAGTGATATTATCTCCAACGCCACTGCAGCTGAAATTTTGAATACCCTAACAGAAAACGATTTTTTCAACATTATTATGGTAATGCGAACATTTTCTGAGCAACTAAATCGGATGATGCTTACGCAATCGGTTTGACTTGTTGAAAAATATCTTGTTTAAGACGTAAGGCTGGCTCATGATTTGCATTTTTGTCAAGATAATGAGTTGTTTTGAGTCAAATCACAATCAAGTCGAAGATTAGGCAGGGATCTGTGATTCCAAGATTGTTATTTGCCCTTTGTTATCAGTATATCTACGAAAAGGTCAACACCAATTAGGTTTTTGAAAGTCTTAAACTCTAACCATGCATTATTTATACAGTCATCACATTATTTATAACTTTAGTAAACTCCGTGCTCAACGGTTTCCTCAGACAAAAGCATTAGGTAGATATTCAAACCAAAGTCATCCGGTTAAGTGCAGAGCTAGGAAGGAAATTTTTCACTCGGTACTACTACAGCGGAAGTCTGGATACTCTCTAGTAGCCACTGCTTGTGAGACGTGTTTTCACATGTATACAGTCAGTTACCCTAGAGATTGAGGTCTAGCACACTGAAATCCAAAATTAAATCCAATGCGATATTGGGTTTTCACTATGCATCAAATTGATCTACAGGGCTGAAACTGATAAGGACTCATTAAGGCAATCTCACTAACATCTCTAGCTGCGCGAATGCGCTTTATTTATCATCTAAGTAGGCACCAACTGTTTTCTCCTTAGGCTCTAACAAAAGCATAGCGAATTTAAGTCTTGATGCTAAACTCATGATTTCATTTGACAATGGAACAATGGTTTATTACGGGTAAAAAAGCATTGCTTAACAAGTCCCGTGGGATGGAAATTATTGCGAAAAGTGGATTGCATGATAAAGTGAAAAGCGTTTTGGTGGACTCACCATATACTTAAGAATAGCGGAGATGTTCGCGTATTAAACGTATAAATCCATTGGTTGGGATTTTGGCAAGACACCGTTTGATTGTGTTTTGTAACCCCTGGCTAACAAGTCATAAAATGAAATCTAAATGAGAAAATGCAACGTCGACTCGTTTTTTTAATATCGTCAGATTGGGAGCAGAGACGACATAATTAGGGAGGACGTTCCAAGGCTGACAAATGCGGAGGGAAAAGAACTTATTACGGCATTCAAGCCGGCTATACTGAATGGTCAGTTTCAGAGGGTGACCTCTTAGTTTAGTGTTGTGGTTCAATTCCAGCAGGGGATGACAAATGTGGTTTGGGTTATTCAGAATTTGATAAGCCATTATGAGATCCCCCGCAAAAGCCGATATCGACTGCTGTACATTCTTAGAGATTTCAGTCTAAGCTGATAGGGCAGATGAAAGAGGCCCCTGACATTCTTGGTTGCCCTTCGTTTAGGAGTCTCGAGAGCAACGAGATCCTGTTTCTGCCACGGCTGCCACGCCTGAATAGCATATTCCACGTGCGGTCGCACGTAGGCGTTAAGCATTTGGGAAAAGATTGAGGGTTCAAACCAACCGAAGGCTCTGCGAAGCAGTCCGAAGTGTTGATTGCCGGTTCTCCTCGCCTTCTGTTTTGGTTTTAAACACTTTAGCTCTTCTTGCACCAATACACCAAGGTCACGCTCCTGAGAGACCTTCTCCAAGGTGTGGTCTCCAAGCTTGTAAGCGCTCACCGGTTGGTGATGCAAATGTATCACCTAGCACTTAGCTATGTTCAATTGAAGCATGTTCCTCTTTGACCATTCGTAAATGCAATCTAGGTCATGTTGGAGCAGATCCTGATCTGGCTTGTTACTAATCGCTCGCCATATCTTGGTGTCATCGGCGAAAAGCAAGAAATTTGAGGAGACAACTCTTTCCAGGTCGTTGATTAACACCAGGAATAAGCGCGGTCCCAGCACTGAGCCTTGTGAGACACCACATTCCACCTCAATTGGGTTAAAGAGTGATCCCCCAACACCTACTTGAAGCTTCTGTTGGTGAAGGGAGCTGCCAATCCAACCAAGTACAGGATCTCCGATTCCGTAGCTCTGTAGCCGTCAAAGTAGGATGCGGTGGTCCAGGCGGTCGAAAGCTTTGGAGAAGTCCAGATAGATGACGTCAACTCCGACCCCATCATCAGCCACTTCCGTCCAAATGCCTCGTACAATCAGTAGGTTGGTGATGCATGACCGGTGTTGACGGAAGCCATGCTGCTCCGGTACCAAGATGTTGCATTTTTCCAGGTAGTCCATTAAAGCCTCAGCAACGACTGCTTCCATCACCTTCGCGAGCACATGGAGGAGAGTCACTGGACGATAGTTTGCAGGATCTGAACGGCTACCGCCTTTAAAATTTGGGGTGATAATGCCACGCTTCCACATAGTGGGGACTTGTTGTTCATCAAAGCACCTTTGAAAGAACTGTGACAGTGGTTCAGCTAGCTTGTTGGCCACAGCCTTCAGTGCCTTCGGGCGGATGTTGTCTGCTCCCGGAGAACTATGCTCACGCAGTGAGAGTAACTTCCTTAGCACAATTGATGGGTTGAAAATTACAGGTGTAAACAATGGACTCGGTAATGTGCTTGATATTATAGGACAGGTAGATGTTGCGAGTTCAAAAATTGGGGCGTATTGCAGCCGCAGTGCATTAGCTGCTTCTTCGGCGCTTTGTACTCTACCGCCTGTCGTGAATAGTGGGGGTATTCCATGCTTCACTTTACGAAGCTTATTGACATGCTTATACAGCAGTTTGTTGTTTGCCATGAACTTTTTGGCTAGACACTGTTGATACGTTATTTTGTCCTCACGGACAAGTGCGGTGCAATGGTTGCGATGGGTCAGGAAATTTCCCCAAGTCTCTGAGTCTGGGTTAATCTTGTAGGCACGCCATGCTGCATCCCTTATCGCCAGGCATTTGCGAGTCCTACTCCTTATAATTGAAGGCATTTTCGCGGGACGAAGGGGTTTGGTCTCTGATGCTTTGTTGACGATGTCGCTGAGCTTATTAACGAACTCTGCCCAAACGTTGTCAAGGGGAATGTGGTTTGAGAATTCCCAAGCAGCTGCGTCGGCGAGTTCTTTCAATACGTGGTAGCGTGTGATTATATGAGTTAGTTCCGCGTGTTCAGGTGGATACACTGCATAACACACATAGTTGAACGTTATTACTACTGCTCACTTGGCGATGCCGAAACCTAGTGCGTGTTACTCTGTTCAGGCCACGGATCAAGCGGGCATCCATTTCCGGAGTGGACGTTGGGGGGCAGTAACCAAAATCTAAAACGTGTGACAGCAGAATACCTATGAATGTTGTTAAGTGGCAGTCCTAGAAGCGAAACAGCTCAACTGCGGTGCATTTACTTTATGCACATGCAATCTGGATAGCAGCTGCGTTTAAAGTTTCCTACTCCGGATCAATACATTATCCTAAAGTGTCCAAAAAACGTCTTTTAAATACAGCTGTATCAGTCGCTATCAGACAGATTAGCCGGAATTGTGCAAGCGGAAGATTCTCGTGTTGTGTTATGTGTCACAAAACCGAAAAGCCTCCAAGCAAAAGGCATTTGCGTGTTAGGAGAATGTCATCGAGTAGTTAAAATCCGTCTGGTTTGCTCGCACTATTTGAAATGGTATCATACGAAATGTGCAAATGTGTCCCAACAACTGGTACGAGAGCAATTAGCCTCCAAAATACACTTTGGTTCTATACTACGTGCTCCACGATCCCACTCGTTATGTGCTTGCTTATCCTAGCTCAGAATTGCGACCGGTTAACCGTAGAAGCAGCTTAGAGGATAAAAGATAAGATTACTTCAATGGAAGAGAGTATGCACCACGGAAGCGTAGCGGTTTATAAGTAACAGAATGCTACACAATCCGCTTCCCCTGAACTGAAATCAGTTACGTCCCCATCTCTGTTGTCCTCTCTAACTTTGGTATAACGCCGGAAGAAAACAGACCGTGCATACGAGAGTCAAATGGTACTCACGACAACGAAAATCAGGCACCACTCGAAACGTCTGGTTAAGCAAATTCCACTAGACCTGACATCTAACATTAACAAGGATGAAGCAGCCGAACACCAAACCTCGGTATCTGTAGTTCAAATGTCTCTTGTCGAGACGGAGCCCCCCGGAACCTCAGTTACATATGCAGAAATTGCTGCAATGGTCCACCGGGAGGCCGCCCGTTGTGGCCCCTTCTGTTGTAAACACCGTTAATGCGAACAGAGGAACAAACAGCAAACAATCAACATTTGTCAGCAGGTCAGGACAAACGAGTACCATACCTTGTAGATCAAAGAAAAAGGGATCCGACAATAGTGCCCGGACTGTTGTTTGCTCAAATGTCCCTGAATCTACCGTCATCAGATTGCGGGATAAGTTCTCGGGCGACCAAGACCAGTGGAACTCATGGTGCGTGTTGATGAGTGTCAAAGCCAAGCCCATCAACTTATTAGGAATTATTCGTCATCCGAACTCGCCACACGAGTGAGAACCCAGACTTATCCGAGTAAAACTAGAAGTCTCCAACGACGTAGAAAACGTTTTGCTCTCCGCAAGCTCGCTTAAACTCAGATCCTGTGAGATATGCATCTATCTTGATGTCCCTTGGAGTGCGCAACAATCAAAAAGAAACACCGAAGAGGGACACAGCAAGCAAGACTGCCTAAATACAATCTTCATACATGTCGAGCCAGAACATATTTCCAAAGATGTTAAAGAGACCGGAAAGCGGGTTTCGTGAAGCACATTCTTTGGATAATATTGTAGCGTTATGGCTCACCAGGATAACTCACTCACCAAATTATAGAGGATGCGACCCTAAAATCTTAAAAGTTTTGGTTCAGTCAGAGCAACAAGCAACGGATGTTTTGGATCGATGGCGGAGAAATCGGAAACGTCTTACTTCTGAACTTCGGTTAATGGTCGCAGAAGCTTTGCACAGCTCAAATATTAAAGCACCTGAATCAGTAAGCATGCTGACGAATGTACAGAAGAGTAACTTGACTGCTGCTTTACTTCAATCTGACGTAACTCTTAACGAAGATTGGGACGCACCTTGGCCGAATCAAGT